AACACTGCTGGTCTCCATGTCACTTCTGCAGCTCAGAACTTCCTCGGTCTAACCGTATCTCAAAAAAAATGCATGCGTAACCAATCATCTCAACTAGGCAGGCTCATATTTTCTGACTCACGAAATAGGGGTGGATTATGTATCGGCTCGCATAAAATGGGTCTGGACAATGTACGGGGCTTGCTCGTTTGCCATCCCTGCCTCCACAGGGTCCTGTGCGCATCATGCCACCGCGGTGGCGAAGTTAATCCAGAGTTGGCCGTGCGCATGCACTCCACCGTATTTGGAACAGTGCGTTCGAGCATTGTCGCACGTCGTTACGACTTCCGCGAAACACGAGATCCCACGGCCCATGGCTTGTGCAAGTGCCTTGATGCGTACCTTGAAGTACGACGCCAACCATATAACTATCCATAGCCGACAGAAAGTTGCAATTATGGGGACTTGGGTGGGGCGCTAGAAGTGCACTGTCAAAGCTTGGTATGGCGCTTGTTGTACCACAGAGACCCCCCCCGCCCCCGCCCCCGGCCCCCCCGGGAGGCGGGGCGGGTGCCGGGCCAAGCTTGTCTTTGGTACGGCATCGCAAACAAGAGAAGGGCCTGGGAGCATGCTCTCGGACACACGTTCGTTGGATACATAGTATCATAAAACCGAGCTAGGGATGACTCCCTCAGACAAGCAGGACCAATTCAACGAGGAAGGAAACACAAAACTATTCGTGCGTTCAATGGGACGTGCATGCACGAGTCGAGGCAAACGAACGTCGCAAGATCTGCCGATCTGCCAGATGCGAGCTCAACTGGCCGAAGCGAGGGTATCAATCCATCGCGAGGCTTGGCATCAGGTGAGGTCCAGACCTGTTGCTTTCCCTCTGCACCGATCCAACTTCATCGTACAGTCCCCGTCGCCCGGGGACCCAATCGCAAATACTTTTTTCGGGAGTACTCACCGACGGACCTGCTTGAGAAAAGTCTACCTGCACCTCGTGCATAACTAATATATTACTAAGTTTGATATCTTATGCTTGCACAGAGCAGGTGAAACAGCCACAACTTCCACCCATGAGTTCCTGCACAGCATATCACATACCGATCATATGCAGGTGGGCCGGATCATGGGAAAATTTGGAATTCACAACCAACTCCTAATCAAAAAATTCGGCCTGTTGTGGATGGTTCGATAAATGCAGAACCTTCTCATTCTATACCTTTCACTATTCACACTTTGCTCGCCAGAACAACGTCGCCAGCTATTAAGCCCACGGACAGCCCGACGACGGTCACATGATAGAATGTCACGAGCGATCTTTAATGCTCCCGCCAATAATCCTGCACGAAGTGCAGGTAAGTCTGACTGCCTTCGCCCCGGTGGCGGGTGCTTCAGGAGTTTCCCTTTGTTGAGATCTATTGACCCGGATCTAGGTACTCGGCGACCCTCCAAACTATCGCCAACTCAACGGGCCCGTAAACGTGCCCGTGATCGTGTGGCTCAGAGTGTAGTCCGGTTGGGAACCAAAGCACACATTGCCAAGCTTCAACGAGAGATTGGAGACCTAAGGAAATGCTCCCCGAATGGACACCGCATCGATGACAACACGCTTCGAGAACTTCGCCGGCGCAACGAAGACCTTACAAAGGAGCTATCTCGGCTTAGAGTAATGATCCAAACGCCACAGATTCGCCTAGCATCCGCTCCCGAGAACACACGTGATCGCGTACATCGTCATTTACAAAGTGCCTGTCCGGGGTCAGCGGATCAGTTAGAGTGGAAAAACACCTCGACCGCCCAAACGAGCGGGACCACGGGTCCAACGGATCCGTCAGCGAACCAGCATACTTCAACAACTCATTCTGCGTATTGACACCACCATTGGGATGCACCACCTCGCAACACAATTTGAGCCGCAATTTGTCTCGACTCTCCTCCCCGTACTCCTCTGAGACACACTAGGGACGAAAACCGTGACCCGAAGAATGCTTGCTTTCTGTCAAAAGTTGGAATATGGTTGATGTTTTACCAGGTTATGCGACGATGCAGTTGGTGTGGGGGAAGGGGGTGTAGCCGTCTCAGTGAATATATTGACAATTGACTGAGCGCTTCAAGGAGGCTTCCGGAGCGATGTAAGTATTTTCAAGACCGAAGCGCCAGACATCTGAAGCTGAAGTGCGTTTTCCTGGGTGGCTCCAGTGGGTTGCTTTCCAGTAGCGAAAATTGCCGCTACAACGAGATGTGGCATGCCACGACTCAATGGACCGCGCAGGTCGAACTCCGTTGTCGTGGGCCGCCATACATGAGAGGATATCTGTAATGGCCTTGCTCGTAGGGCACGGTGGTATGGCAGGTTCCTTGGATTGCCAAAGTCGGTCTCCGCGTATTTAGTCACCTTTACGAGCATGAACAACCTGGCGAACGAGCCCGCTAGCCAAGGAAAGTATAAGGAGGCTGGGTTGATGCATCGACGGACTGCAGCGTGCAGGAGACTGTTCTTGGCAACGCAAGAAGCTTCCGCGTCTCAACGTAGCTTAGTGTCCCGCCTTCAACCCCCAATATTTACGTCTCTGCAAGACCCTGCCATGTTTGGGGATTGGTACCATCTCAACCTCGTTTGCCGAGCCATCTGCCGTTTGAGCTTGCCCCTGCACCAGCCACTGCGGCAGCCTTCCGGATTACAGAGAGTTCGCTAAACCCTAGTATAAGATACGCGCCACCTTATTGTCACTGACCAGGAACGTCAACCTAAACTATGACTCTAGGGTGAATTCTTACAGCAGAATGGCACCCACCTACGGCTGTGTCCTGCAATCATTACGGCCTCCAGATTAAGGGTAAACCCTGTTGACGTGTAGGCTCGCTACAATTTGCCTCCAGCGTGGCATCAAGAGGTGAAACCCGAGCCAGACCATGGCAGATGTCAGCTGGCCAGTAACGGAAAGGTCCCCATCCCTAGTTCATGAGGGTAAAACGTGTTTCATTCGGTCGGTGTGCGAACAGGAAGTCTACGAGGACAGGTTCGGTCCCAACGAAAGAAAGCTCCTTGTTTCAGGCCTGTCTGAAATCCTGCACGACAGGAGATGGGGGGGGTCCATCGGGATGCTACAGCTGGCCGGGTTTCCGAGCCATGTTCAATATCACAGTTACGCATGTAGAGATTGCGACCACAGATGCAGGCATAGGTGATACGGACTGGCTTCCGGCTCAGCAACTGGCCTTTACGAGCGTAGGCCATACAGTGACACCGTATTTGTGTGTGCCTCGCCATTGGCAGCACGTCGTTTGAAGCGAGGCCCATGTGTCCCAAACCAGTGGTTCAAATAGACAACGTTTACCACTGTGTGGCCATGAAATCAGCTCCGCTGATCCAGGATCTACAGGGGCAAAGTTTCTAAGCAATCGTGGTGGTAGGGCGGCTTTAGCACATTGTCCATTGTGGAGGTGTTGGAGTGGCTCCCCGGCGGGCCCGGATCCTTCCGCTGGATCCTCCGCAGCTCGTAACCGGCCGCAACTGGCCCGCTCCAGATCCGGATGGGTCGCAAATACACTGAAACAAGTGAAGGGTGACCAGCCGACCCACTCACTACTGGAGCATTGGCATGTCCTGGTTACTTTTGCAGGCAGGCTGGTGAAAGACCCCTGCGCCAGTGCAGCTCACCGCATGCCAACCTCCGACAGGACTTGTTGCGTGGAGCCCTTTAACCGCGTTGACAGGGCGGGGGATGCAGTGCCTTAACCCTTGCTGACAGTCATGTAAGGATGTGAAGTGCCTTCTCCTGTCGATGTAACCACCGTGAAGCTACCGCGGACAGTCTTTAGCGACAGTCTGGTTTCGACTTGAGCGCCGATCATTTTGCCCCGACCTCGGCCGTAGGAATGTCCGCCGTGCCAAATCCCCAAGCGGCCTCGGCTGCGAGACGGGCTCAACACTCGTCAGTGATTGGACTCCGCCATTCAGTTGCCACACTGGGTGTGGGGGCCACTGGTACGTTGGTGAGAACGGGAGTCTTTGCCTCTCCATGCCATCCTTGTTACGAATATAAATCTGGCGTGGTTGTGCCTCGAATATATGCTCCAGAACTCGCCTTGTTCAAATTTGCTGCATTTGGCGCAAACCCCCGAGAGTCAGTAGCAGGATGTTGGCGTGGTAATTAGCGGGCACAGGCCATGAATATCCAACCACCCCCTCCCCCCGGGCGCGGGATGTTTCGATTTGATCTTGTCCGGGCTTTCCTCGTGTGACATTACGAGAATGTCTCAGCCCACCATTAGAGCGGGGTCATACCCAAGCTAGCTGACCGCCGGCGTGTTGCCTCAAGACCAGATGTCGCACGGCACGTGTGCATAACCGACTGACGACCGGGAAGAAGGCCCCCTGTGAATCGGGCAACGAAAGACTCTTAATCTCTATCTAACGGAGTGAACGCTTGCAAGACTATATACATCAGTATACAGCTGCTGCCTTCTAGGCAGGGCCGTGCTGCCTGGCAGGGTGGTTTTCCATATATGGAAAGGTCTGCAATCCATACTGGAGTATCGCCCCACATTTATTGCAAGTATTGCAATACACCTTTCCATACCTGGTCCGTGCGCATCCACCAAAAGACGACATATCTGGTGCCCAGCACAAATGCAATCGCGCCATGAAATAAGTAGACATCAAGAAAAATTTCATATAACCATAATGGCAGACGACCGGTAAAAGCGATGACAGGCAGAAATTTGCTGCTTCTGCGTTATGGGAGCGCGGAAACTGAGCTAGGATACTAGCCCAGATCTGGGGATCCGCCGCCCTCAGCCCCCTTCAAAATATCGCCTTTGAGCCCATGCTTTAAGCACTCTCCCTTTTCAACCTGGGCTGCGTTCAGTTGGGCCCTTTCCCATGAGATTGTGCGACGTGCTCCGGAGAACACCCGCTCTGGTTCGTCGCTCATGGCTGGCATCGAAAGGATATCTATGGCCATCTGCGACAGCTTTGGCCATCGTTTCCTCTGCTGCTCTTGTAGCCATCATGACAAGGCTGTTGCAGGCGTGATATCGTACGGGTCACACGATATGTAATCTTCGTACTCGTCCTGGCTTGACGGTCGGGTGCAATTCTGCAGGTTCCTTGAAATGCGATCGAACGCGTCAAGGTCCTCGTCTTCTTCGTCGTCCAGAACATGAGCCGAGAGGGAGTCGTCCATGGCATCTCGGTGAGCGAGCCAAAGGTCTTTGACCTGCTTGAATGCAGGTCTCTGCCATTTCTTCTTCCAGTTTGCCTGGATGTATGTTGTACGATAACTAGGATAAAGGATTAGAGCGGCCGCATAATAGGGCGACGTTTCTGTCTTGCTGTAGTATTTGTCGAAGACCTCCCATCCTCTCTGGATCCTGGAGGACAATTCAGAGTCCGATTTGTACGAAACCTATTGCGCCATGTCAGCGCCCGCGCGAAGAGGGCAGGACAAAAGCACGTTACCAGGGCTTCATCAAAACATCGTATCAAGACGTCCATTGTAAAGAGCACCTTGTCCAGGGTTGCATGATCCCCCTGTGTCGCTAATGTCGCTCGCCAGAACGGCTGAAGTATCTTCTCAATTATGCGAAGCCGAGCCCAGTCGTCTGGCGATAGGAAATCCGCCGAAAGATCCTCAAAATGGCTCTTGGTGTAGGTGTCCAGTGCGCTGGCCGTTTCTCGTTTTGTGGCGACGTGCAGCATTTCATACCAACTATTCCACCTCGTACGGTTGTCAAGCGGAACCATCCTCCCGGCGAGTTCCGTGAATTCTCTAATGCGCGCCGATGAACTCTGAGTGTGAATCACTAGGTTGTGGAGCTTGCCAAGTGGTCCAAGCCGGCGGAACTCGGCGCGTTGTCTTTGAGTTCTGGTAGAGTCATCTGCGTCTTCGCATGGTTCGCTTTGCTTCAAGTCAACGGAATTCGGGAACAGGAAAGCCTGAACCGCCAAGTTGATAATATGGCCAAGGCAGCGGAGGCGGTGAACGTCCGGATCCCAGCCTATTCCTTCTTCCTCCTTGAGATGTGTGCTCATCGCCCGGCACAAGGTATCATTCGTGCTCGAATTATCTCCGACAACACTTCCGATGCGTCGCACAATGCCAAAGTCGCGCAAAATGGGGAGAAGCGTAAGGAACTGCTCCTCTCCTGAATGGTTTGCCACTGGCCTCAGTGCAAGCAGAGCTTTCCGTCGCGTTTCCTGCACATGGTCGACAAAGTGGGAGCACACACCCAAAAGAAGGAGCCGATTCGGGGATGTCCAAATGTCAAGTGAGAGGTGAACTTTAGATTTTGCTGACTGGAGCATCTTTCGCACGATGTCCTTGGCCCACTGGAAGTGGTTGTCGATGATCCTTGGAACCGTCGAATGAGCGGAAGGAAGCTGGTCCTTGGCGACTGGGTTCAAGGTAGAAACAAAGTGGTGAAATTCAGGGCATTCGACGATTCTGTAGGGAAGGTTCCGCGCGACGATCATCCAAGCTAACGCTTTGCTGATTTTGTCTTGGTCGAGGTAGCGTTTGAAGACCTCTGACTCAATTTCCGTTGTGCGGCCCAAGTCCCGTGCTTGCTGGTAGAGTTGCTCAAATCCCTCGAAGATGGACGATTGAAGCGGTGTCAAATCTTCCACTACCCGGATGCCATGCTTACCGTCAAGATGCTTGCGAAAGTTGGTGGTAACTGAGGTGCTATACGGGTCGTTCTGGGGACAATGGCGGCAATAGAGCAGGCGATTCTGACCCTTAAACTCTTCCTCCCCTTCTGCCGCCATACGGGCATGCTTCCAAGTTGCAACGGCGGCCTTGCCTCGAGTATTGCAAGACCTAGACGTCGAAGAATCCGACAAAATGGATTCAGAGTCGAAGAAAGATAATACACTTTCGGAATCCATAGCTAACAAGCTCGTTATGGACTCATCTGGTGGGTGTCGGGAGTGGGGGAATTGCGCTTGTGTGGATTTTAGCGAGGTTCAAGGCCCTTGAGGCCCCTGGACGACTGCCTGGCCGGGGCCCTGGTCAGTGGCGCTATCCAGCCAATGTTGAATCAGTATTGAAATACTATGGATCCATATCCATACCCTGTCCATACAATAGTATGGAAAGGGTATTTCCATACTTGGGTATGGAAAACCACCCTGCTGCCTGGCTGTTATGAGTGAGCGACTTGATCTTGACACCAGATGACTCGGAAGACGATTTACGGCATCTGACCATCGAACTGGCCTGAGGCTGGGTAAGTGCAGCCAAGGTAGCATTCAAGGTCTGGCGTGCATGACGGTGGTAATCCACTAGCCTATCCGAGGCCGCGCCTTCGGGAACAGCCGAGCCGCACCGGCGGCACCGGCGGGCGATAAGGTTGACTCGACACCTGGCCGCCCCTGGCTGAGTGCCATCAGCCATAATGCCACTTGTACGTATACGAGTAACAACTTGCTCCGTCTGCGTTAGGAGGCATAAGGTGAGGCGCATCAAGAGTTCTCGCTATGAGGGGCAGGATTCATATATCGTGGCCGTGCAGAGATTCTCCATCGGTAAGTCGGCCCGGGAGTCTTGACATCACCATACTCTCTTGCTCTTGTCTAGGCCCCTAGTGGACGCGAACGGAGTACCTCGGTCGCTGTCCTCTCGTTCGAGTGTTCCCCCTGCCACTCTTCAGCTGATCGTCATGCTTAGACGAGCGTACCCGAGTCGAGGTAGAGCATTAGCTACCCGCATCATCACAATCCTACGTCACAGCGGGCTTCAGGCCGCCCTCGGAGGTTCGACCACCATTTTCGATCCCATTTGCCGCCAAACTGTGAGGGGGGTTCAAACCCGCTCGTTATAGAAATTCTCGCCTGTACCAGCAGCTCCTACCGGATGGCGGGATTGCACACCTGCCAGCCCAAAACTCTCATCCCAGCGGACGCTAGTCTACCAACAACCGGACGAGCACAATAGCAGAGGAGACACTACGGCAATTGATCGGGGTCATGGTATCTTCGTCCACCGGTGTACTTGCACAGTAGTGGCACGCGCTTCGTGTTGAATAACCGCCCTTGTTAAACGATAACAACCGAGGCGGCTATCAGACCCGCGCCGCACCCGCACTTCCGAACAACCACACTGGTCAGACTAAAATTCTTTTGTTGTAACGTCACGACTGTAACATCTGTGGTCAAAGTCTTGCTTATGGATCACGGAGCGGAAATGGCGCCTTCGGCGATTGAAGAGCCCCCTGCCAACAACCTTCACAAGCATAGCCTGAAAGCTGCCCAGAGTTGCCCACTCTGGCGGGACCCATGGGACGAGGCCAGGCTAGCAGACAGTTCCTTTGTCGGATGGTACGGCGTGGACTACGCTGGTCGCCCTTCGCATACTGGTATTATCGGCCAGCATCCTAATTACCAGCAGCAGCCGGAGCATCGAGAAAAAGCCCATCAGCAGCGGCGGCTCCCTTACCCAGCACAACAAGTTCATCGCCAGCGACAACGTAGAGGTTCTGTTCACCATCCAGGGGTTGCAGCGCCAGGTCCCAACACGCCGCCGCCCAGTGGGCCTTCCCTTGGCCAGCTGCCGCACCGTTCCGTCGTATCCTTGGTCCAGAAGCAGCCCGAGGCAGAAGTATCAATGATGGATCTCAGCTACCACGTACACGGGCATCGGCTATCGCACATCCACTTCGGGGTGGCAGGCCAGATCTCAACGCCGTTGTACGGTGCGGTGTCAGCCGCCACGCAGTCTCCGTACGCCCCTTACAGCGTACCGGCAGCCAAGAGGTCCCGGACCGATAAATTCGACCTTTCGGCTGCGGCAGCGACTGTGATGGTGGATCAACATGCGCTGGCTGGCGTGGTGGCCGAGTCCTCGAGTAAGGGATGCGGGCAATCCGCTGCCGCCATTGCCAAAGGAGCAGTAGCAATGAATTATCAGGAACAACCCCAGCTGTATCCTCTTCCTGACTCGGGACAGTCTTCGAAATCGATGCAGACAGAAGACATTGGCAGTGCGCCAAGCATCGTTGGTCAGCCAGGATTGCCGGCACCGGCCCCGAGACCTAGGCGCCCAAAGCTCAAGCTCACAGCCGAGGATGACCAGCTGTTGCTGGAGCTCAAGGAACAGAAAAACCTGACGTGGAAGCAGATTGCGGATTTCTTCCCGGGGCGGTCTTCTGGGACGCTACAGGTACGGTATTGCACCAAGCTCAAGGGGAAAACGACGAGGTGGACAGAAGAAATGGTGCGTCAAGACCTGATGTGACTTTTATGTATTCGACGTTTGTTTTTCGCATTGATCGAGTTATGGCCGAAGAACCCCGAGGAATTTGAAACGACTGTTTGATTCTGGAGGCTTACCCGTTGGGTATTACAGGACGAGAAACTCCGCATGGCGCTCCAGCAATACGAGAGAAAAAAATGGCGAATGGTCGCTCGCAAGATCGGCTCTGGTTTCACGCCGGCGGCATGCTGGGAGCGGTTTGAGCAGCTCGCGGCCGGTGGAAAGATGGCCGAGGTGGAGGAGCCGCCGCGGCTGTCGTTGTCGTCCACGACACCACGGCTGCCAGGGTCGGGGAGAGGCCGACAACACACGGGCTAAGGGCTTGGGTATCGACCTGCTACGTATTCCGGGACTCAATTGAGCAGTTCAGTATCAAGGTCTTCATGTTGCGCTTGTGTTGCCAGAACTACGGGTGTCCTCCGCACCCGCGGACAGGGAAAGAATGAGTGAATGATCTAGTGATGATGATCTCCCTCGCTACAGAGAAGAGTGGAAGGCTACGTCTTATATAGGCGGAGCTGACAAATGTCAAGAAGACAGCAGAATCTTCTAGAGACAACTAGTCTCTTCCAACAAGGGGGCCCAATGTGTCAGCCGGCTTGGAGGGCAGGTGGCGTTCACGATTCAACAGGCGAGGATCACACGTCAACACAAACGGTTGAGTTTGGTTATCAGGAGCACAAACACGATGATACAGAGAGCGCAGAACGGAGGCGATTGATACAATTGTTGATCGCCGGCCTCTCCCAACTTCTCACATGAAGTGGGGTCGCCTTATGATACTATAAAAACTACTCCTGCCTGCAAGGCAGCAGCTGTTGCCTTCCAGGCACGATCGTGTTGCCTGCACGATGTGGTCTGCTCGTGACACCGGTGTAGTACATGATAAGTTGATACATAGTAGCTCGTCATAAAGATCCGAGATGCCATCAGCCGTAAAACATAACAATGCACAGTTCTCGCTTGGATGGTGCAAAGGTTCAGCCCTATTCTCCCTACTTTGGTTCCACGGCTACGGTCTGGCTCGTGGTGCTCGCAGCTTGCGGAAGACCCGCTAGCGCTAGCTGACCACATGCTTCCGCTGCCCTAGGGCGACGGTAGCTCTGTCTGCCCCGATAGGCGGATGGAGATGTCCGCGAGTCCATGGTATACTTCATGCTTGGCCGCATCATACACGACCTTGTTCTTCCTCATCCAAGGCAGACCGAGGAAGAGGTCCTGGCCGAGCCCTGGGATAACGAATGCGAAGATACGCTCGTCATAGCCCCCAGTCTCGATCATGAAGGCCACCACCCCCGGCGACACGACCTCTGTTGCCGCCTCCGAAAACCCGCCAATCTTCCTTGGCTTCGAGTCGACGAAGGGAATCCGCAACCTCTTCACAAGCGCCTCATCAATAACGGCATAGCAGTCGCATCCACTGTCTACCAAGGCACGCGCGCGATGGCCTCGATTAATCCGCGTATGCACCAACACGGAATTGCTCCTCATCTGAGGCTTGAACGCTGCCCAGTCCTGGATGTCTGCTCTTGAGGGCCCCGGGGCCCGCTTTCGCCTCGGGGCTACTCTTTTCCCGTCGTCTCATCGTCGCCGCTTTCTGCCGCCGATTCGGAACTAGCATCCGGAGACCGCTGCGGGTTTCAGGTACTGGCCTTGCATGAGCGTCTCGTACAGCTGGCAAATCTTCAGGACCTGGACGATGGACGACGCAGCAGCGCAAGGAGCTTTGCGGCCATCAAGCATGGCTTCCACAAATTGAAGTCCAAGGGGGTGGGGGTGGCTGTCGTTGTCACTAGCGGTTGCCCACTCCACAACTACAAATGGTCCCAAGTGGCCTTGCATGATCTTTGCGTAAACGACAGGGACCGTCAAGAACTGGCCGACGCAGCTTGTAGCCTTCCATGACGGCTTACGTCGTGGGGGGTGGCTGGGGGAATGACGGGCGATTGTCCACTTCCTGCCAACATGGGGCCGCCATGACCAACCCCTCCCCCTCCGCTTCGCGTGGTCAGTTTTGGCCTTGCATGGCCTTCTTCTGTACGTCATCAGAACTCATCAGGAATGGACAATGCAGGTACGCAGGGAGCTTGTGGCCTTTCAGCATGGCTTCCAGAAATGGGAATATCAGGGCCGACTTTGGCTGCGAGGATGAGTTTCTGGGGGGTGTGGATGAGGTCACAGAAGTTCACCTTTTGCCGCCATGGGGTGCTATATCCGCACCCCCCGACCGACCGGGCTGCAGGTGCTGTAGTCGACAAGATGACCACTTGGGAGTTGACCGCCGTTTGCCCACATCAGGACATGCCCGTCGGTTAATACTGCACCTGGCGACGACCAAGGGGTGACGTCTCAGATACCGTAAAGTTCCTGTGTTGATGGCGCAGATGTCTGGTCGTGCCACCCGGATCGCCCTTATGCCCAAAACGGCCGCAACCATGTTGTAGTTGGCCCCGTCGGCCGGATTTGGCCCGAGTTCGGTCCGTCCAATGGTGACTGTGTCGTGCACAGGCCAGCC